AGAATGAGGAGAGAGAAGGAAGGGGGTGATAAAAGTGGGAGGAGATGGAGAGGGAGAAGGAGAGGAATGAGGGAAGGGGGATGATAAGAATGAGGAGAGAGAAGTAAGGGGGTGATAAGAATAAGAGGAGATGAAGAGGGGGAAGGAGAGGAGAGAGGGAAAGGAGAGGAATGAGGGAAGGGGGATGATAAGAATGAGGAGAGAGAAGGAAGGGGGTGATAAAAGTGGGAGGAGATGGAGAGGGAGAAGGAGAGGAATGAGGGAAGGGGGATGATAAGAATGAGGAGAGAGAAGGAAGGGGGTGATAAAAGTGGGAGGAGATGGAGAGGGAGAAGGAGAGGAATGAGGGAAGGGGGATGATAAGAATGAGGAGAGAGAAGGAAGGGGGTGATAAAAGTGGGAGGAGATGGAGAGGGAGAAGGAGAGGAATGAGGGAAGGGGGATGATAAGAATGAGGAGAGAGAAGGAAGGGGGTGATAAAAGTGGGAGGAGATGGAGAGGGAGAAGGAGAGGAATGAGGGAAGGGGGATGATAAGAATGAGGAGAGAGAAGGAAGGGGGTGATAAAAGTGGGAGGAGATGGAGAGGGAGAAGGAGAGGAATGAGGGAAGGGGGATGATAAGAATGAGGAGAGAGAAGGAAGGGGGTGATAAAAGTGGGAGGAGATGGAGAGGGAGAAGGAGAGGAATGAGGGAAGGGGGATGATAAGAATGAGGAGAGAGAAGGAAGGGGGTGATAAAAGTGGGAGGAGATGGAGAGGGAGAAGGAGAGGAATGAGGGAAGGGGGATGATAAGAATGAGGAGAGAGAAGGAAGGGGGTGATAAAAGTGGGAGGAGATGGAGAGGGAGAAGGAGAGGAATGAGGGAAGGGGGATGATAAGAATGAGGAGAGAGAAGGAAGGGGGTGATAAAAGTGGGAGGAGATGGAGAGGGAGAAGGAGAGGAATGAGGGAAGGGGGATGATAAGAATGAGGAGAGAGAAGGAAGGGGGTGATAAAAGTGGGAGGAGATGGAGAGGGAGAAGGAGAGGAATGAGGGAAGGGGGATGATAAGAATGAGGAGAGAGAAGGAAGGGGGTGATAAAAGTGGGAGGAGATGGAGAGGGAGAAGGAGAGGAATGAGGGAAGGGGGATGATAAGAATGAGGAGAGAGAAGGAAGGGGGTGATAAAAGTGGGAGGAGATGGAGAGGGAGAAGGAGAGGAATGAGGGAAGGGGGATGATAAGAATGAGGAGAGAGAAGGAAGGGGGTGATAAAAGTGGGAGGAGATGGAGAGGGAGAAGGAGAGGAATGAGGGAAGGGGGATGATAAGAATGAGGAGAGAGAAGGAAGGGGGTGATAAAAGTGGGAGGAGATGGAGAGGGAGAAGGAGAGGAATGAGGGAAGGGGGATGATAAGAATGAGGAGAGAGAAGGAAGGGGGTGATAAAAGTGGGAGGAGATGGAGAGGGAGAAGGAGAGGAATGAGGGAAGGGGGATGATAAGAATGAGGAGAGAGAAGGAAGGGGGTGATAAAAGTGGGAGGAGATGGAGAGGGAGAAGGAGAGGAATGAGGGAAGGGGGATGATAAGAATGAGGAGAGAGAAGGAAGGGGGTGATAAAAGTGGGAGGAGATGGAGAGGGAGAAGGAGAGGAATGAGGGAAGGGGGATGATAAGAATGAGGAGAGAGAAGGAAGGGGGTGATAAAAGTGGGAGGAGATGGAGAGGGAGAAGTAGAGACAAACGGATACACATATAAACAGACAGACAGAAAGACAGACAGACAGAGAAGCAGGGACAAACGGATAAACATATAAACAAACAGACAAGCGAAGAACAACATACAGAAAGAGAAAGTGGGAAACTCTTGTCTTAGAGCCACCGGGCGTTTCTCCTCCTCAAGTTCCTTCGCGGATGCTTGCGGGAGACCTGAAAGCATTGTAGTAGAAGTGAAGGCATCTCGACGGTTTCGTGAAAATGGAAATCAGGTCGCGTGGGGGAAGTGAATAAAGGGAGGAGGTAGTGGATAGGGTGATAAATGGGATAATGAATAAATGGGCGAATGAGGTGGGTAGATTAGTTTGTAAAGATGATGATGCTTCGAATGCTCTCTCTCTCTCTCTCTCTCTCTCTCTCTCTCTCTCTCTCTCTCTCTCTCTCTCTCTCTCTCTCTCTCTCTCTCTCTCTCTCTCTCCCTCTCTCCCTCTCTCCCTCTCTCCCTCTCTCCCTCTCCCCCTCTCCCTCTCCCTCTCTCTATCTGTCTATCTATATTCAGGTCACACAGGAAACCATCCTTGCCAGGCACAAAATGAATAAAGAAAGTAACAGATAAAGTAATCGATAAGTAAATGAATAAATGAGTGATTTAGAGGAATAGATTATGAATAGCCATGAATAACTGAATAAATGAATGGATGAATTAGGTGAAAGAATCAATCTGTAGAAATTAGGATGTTTGTGTATATAGAGGTAAATAGATAGGTTGATAGATATAAGAATAGTAGTAGTAATAATGATTTTATTGATAGTGATAATAATAATGAGAATGACTAGTGATAATGTTTATAGTAATGAATGATAATTGATCACAGTCATTGATGATAAAGATAATAGTAGTAATAAAAGATAATAATGAGAATGACTATGGTGATAATGTTTATATTAATGAATGATAAATTATCAGTCACTGATAATAAAGGTAATAGTAATAATAAATGATAATAATGAGAATGACTAGTGATAATGTTTATATTAATGAATGATAATTGATCACAGTCATTGATGATAAAGATAATAGTAGTAATAAAAGATAATAATGAGAATGACTATGGTGATAATGTTTATATTAATGAATGATAATTGATCACAGTCATTGATGATAAAGATAATAGTAGTAATAAAAGATAATAATGAGAATGACTATGGTGATAATGTTTATATTAATGAATGATAATTGATCACAGTCATTGATGATAAAGATAATAGTAGTAATAAAAGATAATAATGAGAATGACTAGTGATAATGTTTATATTAATGAATGATAATTGATCACAGTCATTGATGATAAAGATAATAGTAGTAATAAAAGATAATAATGAGAATGACTAGTGATAATGTTTATATTAATGAATGATAATTGATCACAGTCATTGATGATAAAGATAATAGTAGTAATAAAAGATAATAATGAGAATGACTAGTGATAATGTTTATATTAATGAATGATAATTGATCACAGTCATTGATGATAAAGATAATAGTAGTAATAAAAGATAATAATGAGAATGACTATGGTGATAATGTTTATATTAATGAATGATAATTGATCACAGTCATTGATGATAAAGATAATAGTAGTAATAAAAGATAATAATGAGAATGACTAGTGATAATGATAATAGTAATGGATAATGGTGATAAATGAAAATTATCAATTAAAATGATAATGATTCTAATAATGAAGATAACAATCCTTCACAGCATTGGCCTTGAGATATGTGTTTGTAGATAAAAGCTTTGGAACAGTATAGATAGTGATGTAAAATTATTTTCTGATTATCTTAAATCATTAGGGTTGCATTGTGTTAATAGATCTTTTTTTTTCTAACTACTATATATGATTATTAGAATTATCTTCTTTCACGACAAATATTTCTGGGAAAAGTTAGATATTTAGTTAGACTAAAATATTTAAAACGCTTAAACGAAATGTGAAAAAAACACTATTTAAGAAAAAACAAAAACAAAAGTAAAGTAAGCACTAATTTGATAGCAAGACATAATAGACAAAATAGACAAATATAAAAATCTGTTCTATTGGCCCCTACGATAGAAAGTACGAGGTGATTGATTTTCTTGAGTGATGCATTGTAATGACTGCCGGAGGGGGGGGCGTGTCGGCTTTCCTCCCTGTTTGTTTTTCTATTTCTTTTTTCTTTCTTTCTTTCTTTCTTTCTTTTCTTTTTTCTTTCTTTTTTGAGCTTTGAGGGTATTCAGCTGCTCAATGTTTTCTTGATTCTGTTTGTTTGTCTGCTTTGTGTCTTTATGTTTATATTTATGTTTACCTCTCTCCTTCTCTCTCTCTCTCTCGTTTTCTCCTTCGCTCTCTCTCTCTCTCTCTCTCTCTCTCTCTCTCTCTCTCTCTCTCTCTCTCTCTCTCTCTCTTCTCCTCTCTCCCTCTCTCTCTCTCTCTCTCCCCCCCCCCCTCTCCTTCTCTCTCTCGTTTTTTCCTTCGCTTTGTCTCTCTCCCTCCCTCTCCCTCTCATTCTATTATCTTCTTCCATTCTTCCATCTCCCGCATCACCATCATTTCTCCCCAGTCTCCCCCTCTCTCCCTCGTTTTCTCCTTCGCTCTCTATCTCTCCCTCTCCCTCTCCCTCTCCCTCTCTCTCTCGTTTTCTCCTTCGCTATCCTTTCCTTTCTCCCCAGTCTCCCTGGTCCATTTCCCTTCTTGCCGGCTGCGCAGGCGACTCACTCTGTAGTTTCGTCTTGCTCAGCTTGACTTCGGGTCGCTCAGCCTTGACGCCACCCGGATAATGATGTTGCTGACTAGGCCTGGGTGTCGCTGCGCACGGCTGCCTTCACGTGGTCTGTTGTCACGGTTGCTTTTCATTTCGGCGTCCGTTTGGTTTGGTGTGTTTTTTAAATTGATTTTTTTTTCGTTTTTTTTATCTTAGTGGTTCTATCTCTCTCTTCCTCTCTCTCTCTTTCTCTCTCTCTCTCTCTCTCTCTCTCTCTCTCTCTCTCTCTCTCTCTTTCTCTTTCTCTTTCTCTCTGTCAGCGAGTAAGCGAGTCATCAGTGATATCTGAGATGAATCTGCATAATCATCTTGCGTTATTGTTAAAATCCTTATTATACACTGATATAAAATCCGACATGGATCACAAATCTTGTAGTAAAATCTGAGTTTCTAATGTTCTGATTCTCTTCAGAATACAATTTAGTGCATCGATACAATGTATAATTTCAGCGGATTGATTTTCCTTTTTGCATCGTTACTCAATCTGTCTTGTCTTCCGCAG